CTCAAAGATGGTCTAGCCTGGGTAGAAAACAAACTTTATGTCCCTGCCAGCGAGAGGATGGACCTCATGAAACGATGCCACGACTCAAAAATAGCAGGACACTTTGGATTTGTAAAAACTCTGCACCTCATTAAAAGACAATTTTGGTGGCCATCTCTCCAAAAGGATATTGAAAACTATGTTGCTAGCTGCCAAACTGTGCTGCTGCAAAAAGAAGACAAAGAAAATCTCCTGGACTTTTACAAAAAGTGGCAGAACCTTCAGCACCCTGTAAAGAGATCTCTATGGACTTTATAGTGGAGCTCCCTGAAAGTGCAGGAAATAGTGTTATTTGGGTTGTAACTGATCTTTTTTCAAAACAAGTTCATTTTGTACCCTGCCAAAGGATCCCAACAGCCAAGGCATTGGCAAGTACACGTTTATCGCCTCCATGGACCTCCCCAATGGATTATCTCAGATAAGGGTGTACAATTCACATCCACATTTTGGCGGGCATTTTTAAACCTATTAGGCTCCACCCAGGGGTTGTCCTCATCCAATTATCTGGAAATTAATGGCTTGACAGAGGAAGCTAATAGCGTGTTAGAACAATATTTTAAGATGCTTTATTAATTACCAACAGGACACTTGGACTGACCTTCTTCCTTTTCCAGAGGTAGCATACAGCAACTCGGTCCACAGCAGCACTAGTTTCACCCCATTCCAGGTAGCCACAGGCCAAGAATTCAACCCCATGCCAGAGCTACCTAACAAGGAACCTGAAATTCCCTCCCTTAAGGAGTGGATAATTAATTTGCAAACCACTTGGCCAGTGATCAGACTAGCCTTACAAGAGGCTAGAGGGGCTTTTGAAGCTCAAGCGGACAAAAAATGCTGTGATCCTAAAGCGTTCAAAGTTGGAGACCATGTATATTTGTCTACAAAATTCCTAAAATCATTGCAACCCTCTAAGAAACTGGGACCTAAATTAATTGGACCATTTTCCATCTCCAGAATTATTAATCCTGTTACTGTAGCTTCTACTTCCCAAAACACTTAGACAGGTTCATCTAGTATTTCACTGTAGCCTACTCAAACCAGAGATCACTTCAAACCTTAGACCACCCCTTCCCACACCTCCAACTCCCATTATGATACATGGGGAACAACATTTTGAAATTAAAGATATCCTTGATTCACGCGCTCACCGTGGATCCACACAATACCTAGTAGCTTGGAAACAACTTCCCTCCTCAGAAAACAAGTGGGAAGCCAAACGACATGTAAAAGCACTCCCATTGCCAAGGAAGTTCCACCTGAAATACCCTCACAAACCACCCTAAGTTGTAAATGTAACACATGTTTTATGTCTTCCAGGTGGATTTTTCAAATTTTTGAGGGCAATATGTCAGATCCGTGTATCTGCCGTTCTTCAATGGAAGAAAAAGGGGAGGGGGAAGTTGGTACAAAGTAATCCTTTTTGATGTAACCTGAATATCTTAAGTCTTGTATTGAATCTGTATAACTTGCACATGATATACAACTGGGGACTGGAGCCAGATGTCTGGAAACTTGTCACCTCTTGGAGAGATAGCAAGAGGAGAAGGGACCATAAAAATTCCAGCTCAGAAAGAAACTTCCTGGGAAACTATTCTAAGATACGTTCCCAGAAAAGAAGGGGTGGGGAATTAACATTTGTTAATTAACTCTTTGTTTGACTAAATCCACATCAGAATAAGGGATGGGGTTCTAACTCCCTTTATCTATTACTGTATGCCTGGAAGCATCTTAGATTCTGCTTTGACTACTACCTGGTTCATTTCCTTTCAATAAAGATTTCCTTTTGAAGTAACTAGCTTTCCGAAGTTCATTCTTATCAGTTGAAGGGGAAAAGTCCGGTGCTTACGGGGGGGGGAAATAAGTGTGTGCACATGTGATCTTATTGTGCAATTAACCTTGTCTCATTCTGAAGGGCAATATTAGTTCATTCAGAAAATAGACTGCCTGTGATTTTTTTTGTTCCTTCATAGCTTGTAAATGTATGTTAAAAAGTGCCTTATGGGGCTATTGTCAATTAAAAAGAGGAAATGTAAAAAGCTTGTTTTATTGATAGAGGGTTTTGTATGTTGCCTTGATTATAAATTATTTTTATATTTTGAAGAAATCACTCCTAAGTGAATTTGGATTATAGAGCATTTAATTATAGAATAAATACAGTCTGAAAAATAAATTCTTTAATGGTGAGAAAGAGATGATGATTTCATTTTTAGAAGTACATAGAATTTAAAGCAATTATAGCCAGGTTTTTTTCAGACTTATTTCCATCAAAAAGGTAATAATGATTGTAGTATCAAGCAAAGGCATGCACTTATTAAGTCATTATGAACTGATTGATCCCAAATTAAATTATTATAAATGTTTGAAGAATAGTTACCAACTTTTAAATTGGGCTAATATTATTGTGCTGGCTAGTTAGTTTTACTAATCAATATTATTTTAAGATAAAATAGAACAGGTTTTTTTCAATTAAACGTTTTGTTCTTTAATGTGTAAAAAATAGTCTCAAATTATCACAAGAAACTTAAAATATTGCGTTGGTGGTAAATTCACTCTGCATACATGGCTTCTTTTTATTCACAATTCAATCACTACAAAAAAATCCCACAATTGTTCCTACTTTTTCATTCTAAATTATTTTTATAATTTTGAAGAAATCACTCCAAAGTGAAAGGAGTAGAAACTGTTCACCAGAAGAAGCTATTCTTATCAAAATATTGTTACCCCACTAGTCTGAATATAAATATTTAAATGGTTTCCAATGATTCATTGGTAGGACTTTGAAATGTCAGCAACAAACATGTATTGCTTCAATTGTGTTAAAATGAATTACAGTAGATACTGATGGAGAAATGATGGCTAGTGTTACTTCATATCCAGTTTATTTTTATTTTACTTATTTATTTGTATCCTACCTTTATTTTTTACGAATAACTCAAGGTGGCAAAAATTTCCAACATACTTTCCTCTTCCTATTTTCCCCACAACAACAACCCTGTGAGATTGATTGGGCTGAGAGAGAGGGACTGGCCCAAAGTTACCCAGCTGGCTTTCAAGGCTAAGTGGAGACTTGAACTTACCCTTTCCCGCTTTGTAGCCTGGTGCCTTAACCACTAGATCAAACCATTCCTCTGCAACAATTAAGGACTGGATTTAATTCTGACTATTAAAGAATTGGGGATAAAATTAGCAAAGATGGGCTGTTCCTTTATTTTTAATATTTGTATTTTAATCCTGTTATTGCCGCTTCTTTTAAAGTTATACTCCATTCTTTCCAACTAAAAGCATCAAAAATAAAACTTTCTTTGCACTTTGTTCATTGTCACAGAAATAGGCTTTAGGGGAGTTATCTAATAATATTCAGCTCTATGTTGAGACATTGATACTGACAGTTTTGTGTTTTTCTTTACAATTTTTTAATTTGCAAATCTACACTATTTTCTGAATTTCTTTCTTATCTTAAACAAACATACAATGTTATCCATGATGAAGATCCATAATATAGATTTGAAATTATTTTCATAGTTCATTATAATTTTCCCTGCTGCTGCTGCTTGATATTTGTGCATTTCCTGATTTATAATTTGTTTCAGTAAGAAGGACAAATTGATAAAAGGATGTGACTCTGTGACTTAATATACACATATAAATAATTGGAGATATTTGTTCTATCTGCCAAAATTGCCAATATTATTTATTTACTGCTCTGTGCATTCTTTACATGCTTTATCCAAATATTTATCTACTCTGATTAACTTTATCCAGGTCAAAATGTATAATCAGATGAAGTCATTGAAGACTTTATACTCAGTCATATAGTCAGAGTAAACATGAGAATATGAAACACAAGGATTGGATATATTATAAAGTGATACATTTTTTATTTGAAAAATATATCTAAGGTGGAAAGGATGTAACCAGTAGATGCTATGATTCTATTATTTTAAAATATATTAGGAGATTTTAGAATATTTATGCTTGTGATTTAAAATAAGACTGTAAAATTTCTGGACAGTTGTGAAATCACTAGGATGGGTATTTAATAAATAAAACTACATTTATTTTAGCACATTTTATTAATGAAAAGTGGTTGTCTTTTTTAGAAATTGACCATAAAATCATGTTTGATACATCCATAGTAAAAGTATGATTGATTCATATATTAAAGTTTGGGTATGTGATTTTGCTTTAAAAAAACCAGGTGAGAAAACTTCATTTGCAATCTAAGATATTTTTATTTTCTATACAATGTGCTGAATTGTTGGGAATATTTTTTCCATTTGAGCCCATACAAGATTTATACTACAGAACTCTTTCTCTAATCTTTGTTTTCAAACTACGTGAAGTCCTTTTTATATTGGATATATGATGAGCTTTTGCCCCACCTCCAGAATGTGGTTTCCTTTGTAATTGTTTATTAGATACTGTTTCAGGCCTCATTTATCTTTGCTCTTATCCATTTACTCGTTAGTTTCATTGAAAATTACTATGTTTCCGATGAACATTTCTTTTGCCAGCTGTTCCCTTTTTTGCTATTAATTGGACAGAACGTGAAGAGGCAGGCGGCAGCTACAGGGAGCTAGGAAAAAATTCAGAAGTTTTCATGAGAATAGAAAAGGCAGCATCTAGTAAATGTTACTATACTGAAAAATTCATGAGCTCAAACAGGTGTGTTTGAATGGCACATACTTTTAGAATATAATATTCTAAAATGATGGGAAGTTTCCTGTAAATATTAGATTAACATGTGATACCTTTTTGAATAGTCAGTAGAATGAAGTGGTACAGTAGAAATGCACTTCATAGAATTCTGTCTTTTGTCTTTACTTTCTTTCTTTGAAGTATTCTATTGGAGAATATAATTGGGGAAGATGGGAAAAGCATTGATATATTATTGATATTTATGTATGTATGTCCAGTCCACATATACCGCTCAGAGTTAAAGCAAAAATTATTTTCCATAGGAAGAACAGGCTGCCAAATTGAAGGCTGAAAAGATCAGGGTTGCTTTAGAGAAGATTAAAGAAGCACAAGTTAAAAAGGTAAGTTAATATATTTTGCTTAATATATTTTAAAGTCATTACAAACAATTAGTTCCTACTGAGGAAAATATGTGGCATTAAAATGCTTGTTTTTAGGTTATATTTCTAGTTCTACAATTTATTTTGCACTGCAATTCTAGTTAGCAAGCAGTGTTAACATATTAACTTGGATTACAGCAACAGAAAGTTCCCTTTTAATGATTCCAGGATGTGGGTTGTATCCAGTTATATCTATTCACCCTATCTCAGTTTCTGTTTAACTCCTGCATGGCTCCTAATCAGCATGAGCCTCAGGGTATCTTTGCAGGGCATCTAAGGGATCCACAAAGATAGGGGTAAAAGTTAAGGGTAGAATCATCTCAAAACTAACAAGAGTTGGAAATGTTAAATTATACTTACTACTCATGTAAAAATCATATCATTGAAAATTATTAGAATCTAGTAAAACCCTTGCTTAACAGTAATAACTGGGACTGGCAACGCAGTCATAAACCATGATGTCACATGATCACACTGACAACAGCAGCTGCAGCAATCCCAATTGTCTTAATTAGACAAATTCCATATGGTTGCAGATTGTGCTCACATAATCGTCATTTGCAACCTTCTGCCAGCTTCCTCACTGACTTTGCAGTGAAGGTCATGAATTGCAATCACATGGTTCTGGACCTGCAACATCATAATTATGAAGTAGTTGCCAAATTCCCAAAACATCATCCTATGAACATTGTGACAGCCTCAAATATGAGGACCCATCGTAAGTCTCCCTCATTCAGTGTCATTGTAACTTTGAACACTTGATGAATGAGTGGTCATTCAGTAAGGACTATCTGTAATGAGTAGAAATTTTATTTCAAAATTTCATCAGAGTTTAATGCCTTCTCCTTTATTTCTGCTACAGCTTGTGATAAGAGTCCACATGTCTGATGACAGCTCAAAGACAATGATGGTAGATGAACGACAGACTGTAAGACAAGTGTTAGACAACTTGATGGACAAATCACATTGTGGATTTAGCTTAGACTGGTCCTTGGTAGAAACAATCTCTGAATTACAAATGGGTTAGTAATTTAGATTTCTTGACAGTACCAAATTGTTATGGAATTTTTATAATGTATGATCTTGTTTCCTGGTTGTGTGTATATGTATGTGTCTTCCTTTAGGTAGCTGGATTGCTTGGGGAAGACTTTTCTTTGCTTGGAACTTTTTGTAAAGATCCTTTTATAATTCTGGAAGTCCTGGGTTTGCTAAAACTTCTATAATATTTTGGTGTTACCACTTTGATTACTTAACCACAAGCTTTCAGTAGACCAAACCAGAAATACAATAATAAAATAGTCAAGGTTTGGTTTTACTTGAGAAAGATATTAAATTGGATACAGATATATTTACATGCTTCATATACCATAATACTTTTACCTGTACATGTTTTATCCACATTTTTATTTAAAAATCAACAGCATATTTATTACAAAAAGTTGGTGTTCTTTCTACTTCGAGCCTGTTAAAAATACCCTTGTAGATAGAACCTTTGCGTTATAGCTTTAGTATATAATTGGTTTTCATCTTTTTATATACAAAGATTTTTAGTATTCTACTTAAATATTGGGACGTGTTTTAAAATCTGTTGGTTTTGTTATTATTATAGTTTATTTCCTTTCATAGAATTAAATTGAACGTATTAAAAATACACTATTTGCAATAAGAATATACAGTACCTGTAAGATATCTTTTTCAGTACTCGTATATATGAGTAGTTTATTCCCCTTTTGAAAAAAAAATCTTTATATTTTTCACAATAATGGAGTGATAATTCATTCCATTGGTACATAAAACAAATCTGTATTGATTTTAGATTGCAGGATAAAAGTAAGCAAAATCAGAACCATGGAGTTAGACTTCATCCATGATTGAAATTGTAGCCTCCTAATTCTCCAGCACATCGATTGGAGAATCCACACATGGGGTAGATACATGCCTTTCTGCCCAGAGACTGTCTCCTTCTCCACTGAGCCAAAGGGAGAATCCAGGCTGGGTAGTCTCTAGTCTCATAGCTCTGCAGACTGAGTTGAAAAACTGAGGACACCCACCCCACGGTAACAGTCCCCAGTTCTTCACTCAGTCTCAGCATGTTCAGACCACCCTTAAAGGACTCTGAATAGTTTAGATTGTGGAAGAATCTTCACCCCCTGGATTGAGACTTTTTTCTTAGAGAGTCTTAGAACAGGTTTGACAGCTAGCTCACCGGTTTAGCCACTTGTTTTTTTGTGCTTTTTCCACATTTTTTTGATTAATTTTTAAACTTTATTTGCGGGTGGGCTGGTTTCTGTGGTTTGTTGGTGGAATTTTGGTTGGAGGTGCCCCTGAGAGCCTGTGTGGCCCAGGCTGTGGGGGCGGGAGTCGGTGTCTTATTTAACTCCCGGTCCATTCTTATTTGTGCTAGCCACAACAACCGCAAGGTGCTTCTGCCCCTTTTTGACATCGGCAGTCATTTCCGACGTTTAGACCAAATAAAATTTATTTTTATTTTGCCCCTTTTCCTTTTCTCTCTGTCAGTGACAGTTATTTTTGGTGGGCTCAAAATGGCAGCCAGGGGAGCTGATAAGGAATTATCAGCTCCTCAGCAGAGTAGAGAGAGAGCTGCAAGGGGATCAACTAAGTCCAGGTCTGCTGGACTAGAGGCAGCAGCTAGGATCAGAGCTAGGGCCCTAGCCCCTAAAAGACCCTCTAGGGCACAGGATAGGCAGGCCAGGCGTAGACAGAAAGCCCTGAATAAAGAGTTTGATAAGGCTGTGAGAGACTCCAAGATGGCTGAAAACAGGGCCATCTCTCCTCTGATCCCACAATATGGCAGGCAGCAAGACCAATTGGCAGATAGACAATATTTGACTGCCTGGTCTCCTGGTGGCTCAAGTACTCAGGATGTGCAGGGAAACCCCCAAATCAGAGCAGAAGCCACTCATAATGTTTCTGAGCCATCACAAGGATTTTTAATTACTGCATCGGGGAGTCAAGCCTCCAGTGGAACCAGAGCTGTGCCTGAAGCCACCTTTACCCCCACAGCAGCTGGATTGCGGCCTGAGGAAGCCCACATGCAAGAGATACCATCCTTCATGAGAGCCCCCCAAACAATTAGACAAGAATTTCAGGCAGCAGTCAACCAGCTGCAGCAGCTGTCTTGTTTGGACGTTAACAGAGGCATTCCTCGGGCATGGCCAGGCTTCTGCAGAGTAGCTGATCTACTACAGAGATTGTTCTGCATCCCCATCAGAAAGACGCCAGTCTTATGTCTCCGAAAGGGACCTCCTTCCAGAGAGGGACTTTTCGGAAGAGGAGTCGGAGGTAGCAGGTCCCCCCTCCTTTAAGGACCTTTTCCAACCAATTCTCTTAAAGACTCTGCTGGTTAAGGCTAGGAGCATGGCTCATCTTTAAAAGGACACTTCCCCCAGAGGGGAAGATTACCTATTCACTGAGAAAACATCAGTGGTGGACGCTGTGCCTGTGCCCCAGATGTTTTTGAATGTGATTTAAAGACAGTGGGAATCCCCTGGGGTGTACACTTGCCCCAGTGGGTCAGAGTCTACCTTATTTAATGTGGACAAAGATCTTTTGCAATTATTGAGGTGCCAAAGGTAGATGGCCCAGTGATGCTGAGGACATTTTAAAGGCGGAGGACCGGAAGGAAGAGATGGTGCTCCGCAGAGCTCATCGAGCTGATGCTTGGGCCATCAGAGCAGCCACGACTGTGTCTTTCTTCACACGGGCCTCTTTGCGGTGGCTGAGGCAGTTGCAGAGCAGAATCCTACCTGAGGACCTCAGGGTGCATAAGGACTTGAATAAGATAAAAGCCGCAGCTCAATTGACAACTGCCAAAATCACATCAGCCAAATTTTCTTCCAGAGACATGGCCTCATCTGTAACAGCACGTAGGCTCCTCTGGCTAAGAAATTGGCAGATGGACACCAGAAACAAATGGAAGCTGGCGTCAGCTCCTTTTAAGGGAGAGAGGCTTTTTGAGGAGGCCCTGGATCCCTTTTTAATGGAGGCCAGGGACAAGCAAAGGAGCTTGCCCTCCCATGGGAGGCACTTTGATAACAGGTATCTGGCCTGCTACAGGAAGCTTTCCTTTAAACGGGGAAGCTGGGACAGGCCTTCCCCATCAAAGTAGGCCCTTCTTCCAAAGATCCTTGTCTCAGGCCAATAGACCAGCCTTTGCCGCCAAGGGCATCAGAGGCAAGAAGGCAAACGATCTTTTCGGGATTCCAACAGACCTTTTAGACGCAACAAGTGACATCCAAGCCACTTTTCCCATAGGGGGCCATCTGGGGCTGTTCTGGCAGAGGTGGGAACAGACTACAACAGATGCTTGGATCCTGACAACTTTACGGTCAGGTCTCTCCCTGGAGTTTCTTTCCTCCAGAGCCTTTGTGTGCTGCCCCGTCTCCAGGGACCCCTCAAAGAGGGACTCATTGACTCGGCGATCCACTGAAGGCTGGATATTCGGGCCATCCAGCCAGTTCCTGGAGACCAGGAGAGACAGGGGTTTTATTCAATTTTGTTTGTGATTCCAAAGGCTTCGCGGGTGGGGGTGGCGAGCAATCCTCAAGCTGAAAGGGCTCAACAGGCATCTAATATACTGAAGGTTCAAAATACACTCCCTCCACTCCATCCTAGAGGGTCTTTGGGAGGGAGACTTTTTTGCTTTGGTAGACCTGACAGAGGCCTACCTCCATGTACCCATAGACCCCAACTACCATCAGTTCCTGAGGTTTTGCTATGGCGGCTGCCATTTTCAATACAGGGCTCTCCCATTCAGCCTGTAATCAGCCCCACAGACTTTGTGATGACCCATAGTCTCTCAAAATAACCCAAAACATATATTCAAGTCCGGTAAAGCCTTCAACTTAACTTCACTGTTTTATTAGGCACAGTTTAAAGTCACAAAAGTAAATAAGGAGGCAAACAGAAAACCAAACAAACCGCATTGATGAGAGTTCTGAAGCAAGCCAAGATAACTAATTATAAACTCCAGGAAAATAGCCGAGAAAAGTCCATGGGAAGAACACCAACAAAGATAAGCTTCTTTCAAGGTGAACACTAATTGACTTCAGCAATTCTAACTGCACAGTTGCAAACTTATATACATAGCTCCCACCTGCAAACCACGAGGAGGATCATGGTAATCTCTTCTTGAGTAGACCTCGCTTTTCCCTGATCCTCTCCTCCCTGCATGACCTAGGATGGATAGAGGATGGGCCTGGATCCTCCTCTGACTGCTCAGCCGGCCTCTGCCCTTCCCCAGCCTCCTCCACCACCTCTGGAGCCACACTCCCACTCCCTGTTAGCTGTTCCTCTTCTTCCTCAGAGTCAGACTCCACCAGGGGCCTGACAGACTTTTACCAAGCTCCTGGCGGCCATAGCGGCATACCTCAGATCCTTACCCATCAGGATCCAGTGCTATTTGGACGACATCCTAACCCCAGGTGGAGGAGGATCTGATGTCGACAATCAGGATCCTTCGAGAGCATGGGTTTTCGATAAACCTGAACAAATGCCACCTAGTCCCATTGACTCATCTCTTGCATTTAGGGGCTATCATAGACACTTTGGCGAGTCAGGTCTTTCTCTCACTGAAGACAGTATAAGGGATGTCACATCACAGATCCTGTCATCCAAAGAGGCCCCTATCATCTTGCTGTCTCAACTTCTCAGCAAGATGATATCATGCATCGGTATCGCCCCATGGGCCCGCTTCCATGCCCGAACCCTGCTGTGGTTCTGGCTCCCCTACCAGAGGGCGGGCAGGGGTGACTCACTGAGGACAGTTCGTGTCCTCTTGCTGGTTATTTGTTCTCTCCATTGGTGGCAGTCCCTGGCCATGGATCAGGGATGTTCATACAGGGAGCCCCAGAGTATTACCATTACTACTGACACCAGTCTGTATGGTTGGGGGGCCCACCTGGGAGTCCAGGTTACCCAGGGGAGGTGGTCACGGGAAGAGCTCGCCCACAACATAAATGGGCTAGCGCTCAGGGCTGCCCGCTTAGCTCTCAAGGATCTA